TGATTGAATCCTTTTCTGGACATTTGACTTTAGTAATAGGCACAGACAGCACCCCAGGAAGCAAAACCTTGCAGGAACATTAGAAGACACTGGGGCCCACACTATCCTTATGTGGAGGCAGTGCAAGTCCAGGTTGGTGGGGAGGAAAGGAGAGGGATTTAGAGCTCAGTTGTGGAGAGACAGACAATAGGAAGGCCAGCATGTGAAACCTTTGGGCAAGAATTGAAATAAGAAATTCACTGTATTTTTCAAAATAGATACTTTTCAATGCTGATGTGCAGAAATTAAATTACATAATTACTGTTGAATGAGACAGATATTTTATAGCAATTATTGTGGCATTGAAATTAATGTTTTTGTATACATTAGGTAGGACCATGGTGGAAATATTTCATCTTAACATCAAAGATTGTCTTAGATACATTCTAAGTGAAGAAATCTGGATAAACAAATCTGAATCATTTTTGAGGAATAAAATAGAAGTATTGTAGAGCAAAGTAATGTTTTGCTTTTTGTTAAAAATTTAATTTTGTCAGAATGACATGATTTCCTTACTTAATGATATTTTATAACCTATATAGCAATATCTTCAAACACACACATACTCAAACTACATAATGTATATTCCTGTATATATATATATATATATATATATATATATATATATATATAAAGTTGTAGAAAGAAAACTTATTTGATTTTAAAGCTATTAATTACCACCTAATACTTGAAGCTTTGGCTTCTTATAAATAATTTAACCCGTGTTTTTAGTTTATTATGATGTTTAATAATTCAGCTCATTTAACTGTTCAGTTGATATAGAGAGGAAATTTGTCAGTAGGTAAGTCACAAAGAAGTAACCAAAAATTAAATATGATGTAAGAAGATTGCAATGTGTTTATTGAAAGAATGTTTCCTTTTAGATCAAAGAATGTTGGACAAATTCCTAGGTATATGCATGGAACTTTGATTCTGGAGACTGTTTTCTTGATTGGAGAGTTAGATTGTCTTTTAAGTAATTTTAAAGACTAACTTCCAATATATTAGAATTTTGGAGTGGGGTGGGGTGAAAAGGATGCTTTTCAAATAATTTGGAATTATCATTTGTGTTTTGCTTAGAATATTTTTTTTCAGAAACCCAAGCGGTGACAACTTTTCTTTAAAACAGATAACCACACCATTTAAAAAATTCAAAGTTAAGTCTTGAACGGCAATGCTTTTAAATTTCTTTTTTTTAAATTTCCTTTAAGTAGGCTGTAACTTTCTTTTATAGTAGATGACACTATTGTTGGCCTCAGGTGGAGTGTGGCTGGGAAGTCTGGTATACAAACTTGGTCCATGTGGCCAAGCTGTGTTAGGATCCAGCTGACCTCACTGTGAGGCTGGGTTGGCTGCATCCTGGGAATCCTGCATTTGGTTTTGCATGAACACAGCAGGCATTGATGCTGGAGGGATGTAGACGTAGCTGGACATGGAGCCTATGGAGGCTGGCCAGGAAGCCGTCCTTTCCCCTAGCGCCATGGCACCGCCAACCAGTCTCCAGGGAAGCCTGGGTATCTCGTCAGTTTTTAATTTTCTCAGGTTTCCAGGGTTAGGAGGATGCCTAGAAAACATGTGTTTCTCTTCTCAAGGAAACCCAGGATTTCACAATCCATATGTAATAGAAGAAGTGGATGGATGTGATTATTCTCTGGAATCTTCCAAAAGGGCCTGAGAAGCATCTCCAGAGTTTAGGGAAACCAAAGGATTGGATCACAGGAGATTTTTTTTCTGTGCTCATTTGTTCTAGCTGAAGAGGAAGAAAGACACAGGAAGGCACTGGCTGGTGGTGTAGATGATGTCACTGAGTAAGACCTAGGCTCTGAGCTGTAGCTTACAACTACTTGACGCTGACCAGCTGACTTGGGGTGGAGAGTATCTTCAGATGTCTCAGGAAAATGAGGTCTCCCAGTTGTTTGTTAAGAGCTTTTTCCTCTGTAAGTGGAGAGGGGAAGAGGAAAATGCCCAGTCATTCATTAAACATTAAACATTATTGAGCACTGGTCCCTGGGAGCACAGGAGTAGAAGAAAGATGGCCATGACTTTGACTCTGACCCTTTGCACTAGTGTAATAATAAATGGATAAATTGATACTACCTAACATTTATTGAGAACTTTAGCACTTTAGATGTATTAATCTATCTATTCTTTACAACCACCTGATGAAGTGGGCACCAAGGTGATCCTTTTTTATAAATGAGAAACCAGAGGCAGGAGAAGATCAGCACCTTACCCAGGGTCACAGGTTTGGTAGGGGAGAGCCACAGTTGATCCGGGCATCTGACCCGAGAGCCTGTGCACATAACCTCTATGTGTGATGTAAGGCTTGATGATTACATGGCATGGCCTGGTTATGGCATGAAATGGAAAGTAATATGGGAAAATGTGGCCAGTGCTTCCCAGATGAAGGAATGATCGGTGTCTGCTGTCAGTGCCCTGGAAATGGGTAATAAACAAAGAAACATGTGCTCTTAATACCATGGGGTGGGTGAGGCTTCATTTCTCAGGTGTAACACTTCCCATGTTGGTCAACAGATCTCTGACTGGTGGCCCAGGTGGGTTGGGATTCTGAGGGAGAAGTATCCCCATGGTAGGGAAGGCTGGATGTGGTTAGACACCTGTGGAGGTGGGAGCTCAGTTTCAGAAGGTTTCAGACAATCTCTGTAATCCCCAAATCTAATGGTTCAGAAAAGGTCGGAGAGTCTGAGATTGAAGTCAGGCTGTTTTAATAGGAAGAACATGGGGTGGCACTGAAAGATGTCTGTGAGGCTTAGAGGGTCATGTTGCTGATCTCAGACTGAAAGAACCAAGGAGGATAAGAAGAGCCCCTTCTCAGGACACACACGATAGAGTGACGAGGAACAGTAAATAGTGTCAGGGTGTGAGAGCCCAGAATGAACTGAGGCTATTGAAGAGAGAGAAAGACAGCAATGGATTCATTGATACTGGTTGGGAGCACAGAGAACAAGGACTGCATAGATCCACTGGCTGCCAAGGCAGCTGGTGTCTGTGGACGGAGAAAGAAGGAGCAGCTTCGCCTTGTCCAGAGACAAAAAACCATCTTCCATTTTCAAAGGGCCAGGTAGGGAAGGAGGAGTAAGACAGTGCATGTGATCTCTTGACCCAGAACTAACTGGCCAGGGCATGGAGTGACCCCAGAGATGACATCACATATCTGCGGAGGTCATCTGAGTGGTGTTGTTGGGGTACATGACTGAGATGCATGTAGCTTAGAGATGGATAAGACTCAAAGTCTAATGCTGACCCTGGGAAAGAGCCTGGGAGTCTATCAACAAGAAGAGATGAGCATTAGGAGGAAGCAGGGGCTCACTGGGTAAAAGCTATGTCACACTTATGTCATTTTCCATTTTGAGAAGCTCAGATCTGGTGATGGCAGCAGACAGTGGGCTGAAGTTAGATGGGGCCCCAGAATATTCTGTAGGATATTTTTTGCAATTACCTGACTGACCTTACCCCATCAATGCTGATTCATGTGACAGTGGTGACCCTCAGGGAGGTTGGGAGGCATACCAAAGGTCCCCAGTCAGCATCTTTGTCCCTCCTTTTCTTCTTCCTCCTCCTCTTCATGATGATGATGATGATGATGATGATGATGATGATGATGTCACCTCCTTTTCTCCTTTTTCCTCCTTCTCATTCTCATTACTAAGATTTGTCTGATGACAAGGATGGAGGGTGAAATAGGGTGAATATTAACACACCAGTTGGCAGTATCCGGATCCACAGTGGTCTCAAAATGCTCGAATGTGGCGCTGAATTTAGTGACATGGTATTTGGCAGATTGTAGATGAATGTCCTCGGGTTGAGACATGCAAATTTCCTCAGATGGTTGTTGTTAAAATCCCCTTCCTCTGGCATGTAGATACTTATGTAGTCAATAAACAGTGACTTCTATTCTAATATCATGAAGGATCCTGATATTCCATCCTGCAGTAAGACCACATGTCCAAAAGTTCAGTACTGAGAAGAGGGTTGTCACATCTATGGCTCAGGGCGCTCTGGACAGTTCTGGTAGCAGGCTCTACACAGCTGTGGTTGGCAAAGCTTGCCTGAACTGTGAAGGTAGCCCAGTGGGGCTGTCTGCAGAGGGATGTCAGGGTGCAGCAGGACGAGAAGGACAGCAGGGAAGATACTGCCCAGGCTTGGGAAAGATAGCATGTGGTTCTAAACTGTAATCTGGAGAACTGTCTGAAAGAAAGAGAGATGGGTATGCAAGTGTGAGTGTTTGTGTGTGTGTCTGTGTGTGTGTGTGTGTGCGCGCGCGCGCGCGTGCGCACACACATTACATGTGTATTTATTTGTGTGAGTATATGTATATGTGTGAGTGTATGAGTGTGAGTGTATGTATGTGAGTATGTATGTATATGTGTGAGGGTGGAATATGCCTGGTGTGTATGTCTTTGTAGAACTCATGGAAGCTTAGCAATAGGGCTTCAAGCTGACTACTGTTTGAGAAATGGGGAGAAACGGCTTCACCACAATTAGAGTCATGCATTGTTAGATCTGGAAAAGACTGTGGAGATAATGTAGCCTAACCCTAGTTTGTAGATGGGAAATTGAAGCTGAGAGATGTGGGATGGTCAGTTCAGGGGCACTTGGTGGATTGATGTGGCCACCTTTACCTTTTCAAGAAACATTGGCTGGCTCTAATCTCTAATGTCAATGGCATCCCCTTTGAGAAATTAGTTTGGTAAGGATGTTAAGAAAGGCTCAGATCCCCCAGGCAGCACATTTTGGGCTTGGTGTTCATGGCTAGGGGCACAGTGAGGGCGACATGGACAGTGCACCCAAAGCAGGCCTTGGGAACACACACTTGGGTTTTAATCCCAGCTCCAACTCCTATTTGCAGGTGACGTCTGACAAGCCTAGCTTTCCAGAACTGGTGTCCTTTCTGTCTGTGAAAGAGAGGAAAGATGGAAGGAGGTGATGTATGCAAAACACCTGTCACAGACTTCTACCATCAAGATAGAGAGAGGGAGGGAAGGGTGCCTGGGTTTCCTTTTCCATGTAGGGCAGGAGACAGTGTGAGAGGAAGGAGCAGACGTGAGCCCACATAGTATTTATGCACAACAAACCCTGGGAAATCTCTGTGGAGAAGCTCAGCTGCCCACTCCTCAGGGTCCTCCTGGGCCTGAGGATAAATGTTTTCTAATGATGAAAACTGGGAGTACTCAGTGGAGTGCGGCCCAGCAGTACCACTCGCCAGATGGGTTTTACAGTTTCAAGAACTTGCTAGTGGAGCTGATTAGGGAAAGGGCAGAATGAATGTCTCTCCAGCAGGGCTTATGGCATGCTTTCCTCCTCTGTGCCACCCTCACATATGGCCACTCCATGTCTCCCCTCGAAACATTGAGAGCAAAGTGGAGGTTGGTCCACCTGAGTATGCCCAGCAAGTGGGCTCAAGAGGACAATTGACAGTTGCCAGGTGAGCAGAAGAAAAACAAGTGGATTAATGTGTGGGGAGAATCAAGTGTATATTGATACTTCTGGTGGGTAGAGACAGGAGAGACCCCTGCTTGCTTCAGCGGTAGGCCAGGCAGAGAAGTGGCTGCCCCCACGTGTAGGAGCACAGGCCAGGAACAGCTCCAGACCTTCCCTGTCATGCCTGGGTATTTATTGCTTCAGCTTTTATCTCTCTGGACACCTGTGCCTGCAGGAGCTCCTGTCCCAAGGTGCTTAAAGTTCTTGGCACTTCTGATGATTTGGAGAGAAATTGGCATGCTGAATAGCAAGGAATGAAAACTGCCCTAAACTAGAGTGCAAACATGTTAGAGATGTCAACAAAGTCAGAGCTGGCTGCTGGTGGCCTTGTGTGCTCTGTTAATACAGCTGCTGCTGCCTGGATGCTGACAGGTGTGGAGTACTGAGCTTCGCCTCTGGGTGGCAGCGTTGTGCAGTGTGGTCCTTCCTGATGGAGTCCTAAATGTGAAAGTAGATGGTATAGAGCTCTGAGACAGGGTGAGTTGTGGCATCTATAGAAGTCAGGGTTTTTTGGATGCAATTAACAACTAGTGAAGAGTGCCTGTCTCACTGCCTGTTGCTTCCTCTCTGCAGAGCCCTGTGGTTGAAGTGTGGCTGGCCCAGCCATCAGGGGAGCCCTTCAATCTCATAGCTCTTCTTGGGCCAAGCCCTCCAGACCGCCAAAGCTCCGAAGACAACAGCTATTGGAGTGCCCACCTTGCTTAGCTGTCCCAGGCCCTGCTAGTCAACATGGCTGCTGGGAAGGGGGCTGTACAGGGCCGTGCAGCTGAAAACAGGTGGCAGCTTAGTGAACCTGAGCATGGCCAGAGCTGCAAGCCAGTGCTGCTGGAGAAAATGAACCACCTGGGCTCTGAGGTTGTCATGGACATTGGTGGCCAGGACGAGTCCTATGCTGAGCTGGCGCTGTCAGCAATTCCGGGCAAGTTCAGCCTGGGAAAGCCACTGGTCCAGAAGGTGTGCTGGGAACAAGGGCAGAGCGCCTTCACAGAGGTGCCTCGGCTCAAGAAAAGGCTGGAGGACAGGCAGGCCAAGGATAGGGAGGATGATGACATCACAGGCCAGCCTGGCCCCCAGGAGCTGACTCAGGATGTCCCCAGGGAACCAGCTGGCAGCATTGGCTTCTCTGTGTGGCCCAACAGAGCCCAAGGTGAGCAGAGAAGCGCCTTCAGCAAACCAGCCAGATGTCCATTGGGGAGACCTGGGCCAAACTCGGTCTTCCAGGCAGGCAGACCTGCAGATGCCCTGGGGGAGCTGTTGGGACTCATCAAGACAGTAGATGTTCCTTGTTGGGGTCAACTTTCAAATTCCAAGCTTTTGGTGGGTGATTTCTGGAACCTGCAAACGTTGCCACAGAATGCTCCTCTCTGCAGTGCTTTCTTGGGTGCTCCCACGCTGTGGCTAAAGCATGCCATGGCCCAGATATCCACACCCTTGTCATCCTCCTTCACGCCCTCATGGGCCTTCCTGCCACCCACATTCACCTCCCTGGGCTTATCCACCCAGAACTGGTGTGCAAAGTGCAACCTCTCCTTTCACCTGACCTCTGACCTGGTTTTCCATATGCGGTCCCACCACAAAAAGGAACATGCAGGGCCTGACCTACATTCTAAGAAGCTGAGAGAAGAGGCCCTCGCATGCCCCATTTGCCATGAGTACTTCCGGGAGCGCCACCATCTTTCGCGGCACATGACTTCTCACAGTTAACAAGCTGTGGAACAATCTCTAGGTGCAGTGTTCAGCATTTGCCAATGAGGCAGAGATGCCTCGCCGTGGCTTCCCTTGAAGAGGCTGTTTGCAGTTGTCTGCAGGGCTGTCTACATTGGAGTGTGTAGATGAACGGCTAGGTCATAATTTGAGAAAGACAGCATTTGGTTGTGATGTGTTTTGAAGTAAATAATGTCATGAAATAAAATGATGCTCTTTGCTAACCGAGGGTATTGGGACTATGAGGCACAAAGTGTTTCTAATATCTTTAAGAGTGGGGCCCTGCTCCTGTCACCATTACTTTTGCTCTGTATGGAACCAAGTTTGACACACAGCATGGGCTTTGGAGACAGACAAATCTAGATTTGAGTCTTGGCCCTTTTACATACTAGACCTGACTTTGGGCAAATTGCTTTAATTGTCTGAGCCCTAGTTTTCTTATCTGTAAAATGGAGATCACAACACCTCTATTTTAGGGGTGTTGTCAGGGTTACATGGAAAGACGTGTGGGAAATGGTCAGCACAGCCCCTGGCACAGTGAGATCACTGAGTAGATTATATTTGTTATTATTGTCCCGATTAGTCAGCTATTGTTACATAACACAATCTAAGTGGCAAACAACCACTTAGTATTTCTCACTTGCGGGTGTGTGGGTTGAGCTGGTCTTGGCTGGGTTTGGCTCCAGGTGGCATATTTAGGTCCATACTCTTTTTCCTTGGGACTGATGGGCTACCCAGATCATGAATTTCTCATGGTTATGCCAACATCATGAGAGGGAAAGTCTAAATACACAAATATGCCTCAGGCCTCTGCGTTGGTCACTTCTGCTAACATCCCCTTGGCCAAAGAAAGTCAATGGCCAAGCCCAAGGGTTAAGGAGTGAAACGTGCATGCTGCCTACAGTGAAACTTTGATAAGGGAGTGGCCCCCATAGAGGCATGAAGAATTGAGGTCAATAATTCAACCATGGTTCTTCACATTCTGAATATGTAAAAAGGGAAAAATGGAACAAGACACTTTCCCACCCACAACATATCCGTTAGCTCTCAGAAAGACAGCATGAGCAAAAGAGTAAGGCTTAAAAGATTGTGAGAATTGGGAGAGTTCTGGGTCCCATTATTATAGATTCTGTTTATCTATGTTTGTCCTTGCAAACTTCAGGTCATAAATTCTGATGTCAGTTTGTGTGAAAGCCATTTTTGGGAGTTCTTTCTAGTCAATGTAGTTCTTTTGAGTGATTTCCACTTCACTTTCAGGATTTGTTCATTTGATCTGCAGTTTGCAGCCCTCTGGTGGGGCTTGTGGTTGGGAAGGAGCTGGTGGGGGTACCATGAGGGCGGCATGCCTACGTCAGACTCATGGGGAGGGGAGTGAGGCATGAGCTGAGCCTCAAAGTCCAGCAGGGGCTGGTGATTCAGGGAGGGCAGTAGCTAAGGAGGAGGGGTGGTCCTGAGCTGTAGAAGTCCTAGGGAGCTGCAAGGCCAGTGAGAGGAGAAGTGAGTGGGGGAGGTGGCCTTCAGGGGGAGATGGACACATGAAGGACTCAGAGGAAAGGAATTTGGACTAAAGTGCAGGAAGGCTGGCTCCAAGAAGCGCTTTAAGGGGGCCTCTAGCTGCAGCAGGAAGGGTGGGCTGAAGGAGCGGTGAACCCCTGAGCCATTTCCCTTTGCATTTGGAAGAAGTCAGGGGTGCTCCCTGCAGATACCAATGGAGTACCTTCATTCTCACAGGGAGGCTTGGAAGTCCCACTCTCCCTGAGAGACCAGGAATGGTCTGCTGGCCAGCTCCTTTGAGAGCTGCATTGGGGCAGAATTTGCCCACAGAGAAGCTGGGCCTAAATTGGGCTGAAGCTGCAGGGAGCCGCCTCCCCTGCTGTTCCATGAGTGGGGGGGGGCAGGAAAGGGCACCTCACAGGGTTTGACCTGAGGCTCCACACTAGGCACTGACATATATCATTTAATCTACACGATATGCCCAGGAGGTAGATATTTAATTCCCATGTTACTGTAGAAAAAACTAAGAGGTTAACTGACTTTCTTAAGACCATGTGTGTAAGAATAAGACCCCAGTACCTTCCCACTCTGAGCTCACATTCTTCCCAAGCTACCATGCATCTCAATGTGTGCTCATGTGGCACAATAGATGGTTTAGAAACTGGGATTTAGGACCAGGCATTGACTTCAACTCGCACCATGCCTCCCCCCTGCCCCTTGCCACCACATTTCCTATTGCCCCTTTTAGCACTTTGCACTATCTTGCATTCTGTGATATTTTACTGATTTGTCTTGTCTAGTGTCTCCCACCACTAGAACATGAGCTCTATGAAGGATTTTTGCTGTTTTGTGCACTGCTGTATCCCCAGCAGCTAGAACAATACAGGCATGTGGCAGGTGTTCAACAGGTATTTGTTGAAGGAATGAATGAGATGCCTAGATCCAGACTCGCTGCTGACAAGCCTTGAATCAGCTTCTTATAAGGGTTTTGACATCTGTCAAATGGTGTGCAGCCATCTTCCTCTCACTTATTAGATTGGTCCATAATTTATGTGAAATCACTTTGAAAGGCATAGACGCACTGTATTAAGACAAAATAGAAATTTAGAATTGAAAAAGACTGTAGAGTTCTAGTCCAGTCCCTCACTTTGCAGCAGTGAGCATTGAGGCCCACTGATGAGCTGACCTTCAAAGTGATGCAGGGCAAATGGGGAGGTCAAGGCCGGATCCCTGAGATCCCTAGATACCTGGCCTGCCCATACTCCTCGAGGAACCATGGCTATGGACTCAAATGGAATTATTACTAACACTGACCACACCATTTACTAACAAGGGGGATATTTTGAAAAAAACATTAAAGTTAATGAAACTAATTAAAGTTATGAAGAAGCACAACAAAACATCTTCCCCCAATTCAATTTTCAAGATGGAGTTTATTTTGGTAAAAATTGATGTAGATGCAAGTTGCTTTGCAACTATTTAAATTGACAAACTGAAAGATGATGTATAGAGGTGATGACATATAGCTTATGAATGTGACAGTTTCTATTTGTCAACAGGCTGAGTTCTCAAAATCCCCTTGGCAGTTGAATCCTGTCTCATCCATTCTTCTCTCCTGCTCTCTCGTGTCTACTGGAGAGTAGTCACTTTTAATCATTACTTTTCCCAAGCTCTCTCTGCCACCTTCCGTACCAGTTAAGGGTTGGCTGGTGATGTTGCCACAGAACATCACATCAGCAGGTATGAATTTTCTTCTACAATTTTGAAGTAAGAATTAACACATTCCTTAAATTCTCTGTATCAAATTTAATCTACTCTGCACCCCAATCCTGTGGTTTTGGTAGGATATGCAATCTGTCTTTTTGAAATTCCTTTCCTGCCTCTCAAGTTCAGAGAAAGTTCTCAAACACCCCCCAACTAAGAAAGTAGCCTCTCTTAGCATTATGCCATCTCCCCATGTTGCCTTCGTGTCTTTGCTGCTCTTCTTCAACGTGCTCTGTCTTCTCTCCTCTACCTCTCTGAGGGTCTTGGGTCTTGGGTCTTGGTCAATGCCATCATTAGGTAGCACAGAAGCCACCAAGTCAATGAAGAGAAAGGCTTTGCTAACTTTTCAAGAAGGGGAGGGAAAATACCTATAGTTGCTGGAGGGAAAACACCGAAGGTTGCTGGAAAAGTAGCTAGTTATATCTCAATAAATTATGATCAGCAGTCATTCAATTAAGATTTATAAAAGTCCACAAGATGTGCTTATGAGGCTAAATAAGAATTCAGATATATTTTAGTTCGCAATTTTAACCAAGATATGCTTTTCTTTCTGTTTTTATCTGGAAGAGAAGTAAACCCTTGGCAAGGCTGGGATCCTAGATTTCCACTTCTGGCCAATTTTTGATTCTTAGATCATGTATCCTATTCAAATGACCATATAATTAGTTTAATGAAAGTGAGTGAATCCCACACAATTTGTGGGGAGAGGAGGGGAGAGAGGGGAAAAGTGGTCCTGACACCTGGAGCTCGTATATTGTTTTGGGTGAAGTCTCTTCCATGCCAGGCCAAACGTAGGCCTTCAGAGAGGCTAGAAATCAGGAGTGTGTGTGAAATTAGAGGTCAGCTAATTCACTTGTTTTTTAAACACTGATGGCCAAAATGGTATGGACTTAAGGAAGCACGTTAATGGTGGTGGTGATGGGGAGAGGCAGGAACCACCAGCTGGAGACTCCTAACTCTATTATGGTCCCAGTCTTTGAACAGGCCAGGTGCTCGGTCTGTCACTGCTAACTTCATCATACTTCCCTATTCTTCTGGGCATAAGAAGAGGATTCTCCTTAGGGTGAAAGTCAGCAGGAGTTATTATTCCAGGGTGTGCCTTGCATCCTTCCTTATTTTGGAAGGTGCCCACACCTCCTGGAGGCAGCAGGCATCCCCTGCAGGCCACTGTCTTCAGAGAAATGGTTAACATACCCTGGCTATTTGCATAATATTTTTGTTTTTTGTAGTAGAAGTCATGTGGGAGGTCTAAAGAGCATATAGCAAGATACATATACCATAGCAGATAAACCTTTTATTTTAGAAATAAATTATTCTCCTATGTGTTTCAATTTGTGCCACTTCTTAGGAGAGAAGAGTTCTTAGAAACCAATTTTGAATGGGGACTGAGGAGGTAGTGCATGCTGGGAGGAAGGTTGGGATTCTTCACATTCAGCTGTTTCTTCCCTGGCCATCCTGTGTGTTCCTGAGGCAGGAGACAGGAAGCCAGTGGCCTCTGGTACCCTTGCTATTCCAAGATGCTTGGATTAGGAGGCTATTTTTAGCTGCACTGGTCAGCAAGGCAATGAATAAGTCCTTATGCAGATGGCACTAGTCCTATAGGAATCAGGGGATGCGAGATGGGTGCCCTCCAGTGTGGACCTTGGAGGCAGGTTTCCTTGCCCACCAGTGCGCTTCGGGCTGCATCATTGTTCTGTCTGAGCCATGTTCTTTCCTTGCATTAAAGCTGTGTGGGTAGCCAGGGTCTTCACTGACGTGCAAACGTGGCCACTGACTATATGTTGGTCTATGTGGGCAGTTGCAAGGATACCAGAAGCAGGAGGGTGAGATGGAGGAAGAACTGGTCCTCTCCTCTGGTGCTCCAGTCCAGCTTAAAGAGAGAAGACCTGAGGGGTTTCTCAGGTGTCCCCTTCACACTCCTTTCTGGATGGGTCCCTGGGCCCTACTGCCTTGAGGGTCGGGTAAATCAAGTCTTCAGCAAGGATCCTGATCGGGAAGGTCACCTTCTCTTCTCCTAACTGTATAGATCTTGGCAGAGGCATGGCTTGTTTTTGTCGGAACACACCTGGATGTGGGCCAGCAAGACCCAGAGCCATCCTTTCATCCCGCCCACCCTGGCCTGTGCTGTCAGCCCCTGGTCAGGGAGCAGATGTGCTCCGCTGTGCCCTAAAGAGCATGGTTCCTCGTTCCCACCCCCTGCTACTCACATCTGGTCCCCTGGGTCTTCTCTGCCTCTGCCATGACCCCATGGTTTGGCTGCCCAGAGGGTGGTCTGGGTTTGATAATGATAGGGAAGCCTCTAGTCCTATCTTGCCCCAGAGAGCCAGCTTTGAGAGTCTTTTATAATCCATTTGTCACTCATGTTGTCACAATGCAGTTCAGCTAGAGTCCTGTGGCCACTCCAGAACCCCTGGATGCAGGTCAAAGGGACTGCCTGTAGCCCTTCCTGCTCATGCTTGACCGACCTCCCTCCCCACCACATTTCCAGGAAGACCAGAGAAATAAAACCCCTTGAGTGTCTGCATCACATAATAATGCCCATTGGTTCATTCATTCATTCATTCATTCATTCATTCATTCATTCATTCATTGTGTGCTGAGCTCTTCTCACCAGATGCCAGGCTTGTTTTGGGGTTGGAGGAGCATAGACCACCAGGCTAACTTTCCATCTCTGAAGACCCCATAGAACAGTTGGGGAGACTGATGACATAAGAGAGACAAGCACTGTGGCAGGGGTGTTTAGGAGACTGAGGAAGTACAGAAAGAAGTCAAGGAACTTAATCTGACCAGGTGACACCTGAGCAGGTCCTGGGGAGCAGGGGGCATTAGAGAGCACAAAAGACCCAACACACCACAGGCCCTTTCCTGAGGTTGGGGTCCAGGTGTACACAGGCCAGGGAAAACCCCAGGGAGTGGGGAGAGAGATGGCAGCCTGGCCCAGCCCCTCTCACTGCCAGGCAGTGGGCACCACGAGGGGTCCTCAAGCCAGGAGAGACATGAAAAGGTTGCATGGCAGAGCAGTAGCTCTGGTTGTAGGCTGAGGCACAGAAATGGGACAGGAGGCTGTGGTAGGGATTTAGGCATAGAGCCAGGACCCCAAGACAAGAGAGAGGGATGGCAGGTGGGCTTAGAACAGTGCTATTAACTCAGATAACTGTTTTGGGGTCCTGATGATTGTGTGGGCACAGGGTAGAGGGGTGGGCGGCAGAGAGGAGAAAGTAAAGGGTGGCTCCTAGATCTCTGGCCTGATTTTCAGTGGTAAAACTCCTTGGTGGTGTTGGTGGCCCAGCGGTGTGCCCAGACTCCACGGCTCTCTGGGGTCTGGGGAGGAGGCTGGTGAAGTCAGGGTTGTGTGGTAAAGTCAGCCCAGTGCTCTGGGGGAAGTGGCCAGTGGCAACTGCAGCCTAGACTCTCCAGGCAGCATGTCCAGAAGGGACCAGCATCTCATCCTCACTCAGACATCTTGGAACCTGGGGCTCCAGGAGCACTGAATAGGGATTGAGGTACCCCCTGCTCTTCCAGCCTCACCTCTACCATGACTATAGGCAGGGTCCTAAAAGTCTTTCACTTTTGGGTCCCAGATGACTCCAGCAGAGCAGGACTGCATGGCTCCCAAGGCACCAGCCAGAGGCCTAATTCCCCCAGGTCATCCCTGGGCTCCCTGTCTCCTCCTGGGGCTTGCTCACCTCTGAGGGAAGTCTTGGCGTCTGCATGCTGCAAGTTTATCACCCTGTCAAGAGTGGGCTTGGTCACCAAAGCCAGCACAGTGACAGGCTGCACTTGAATGAGCAGGGTAGGCACCCAGACTGCCACCCAGGGCTGCTCTCCTCGTGCCCCCCAGTAGCAACATGGAATGTCTGGATGCTGCATGGCACACAAGCTTTTTGGGCCCTGGCAAAAAATGGAGAACAAGGGCATGGGAGAAACATGTGAGGGAAAACTAGACTTGCTGTGCAGAATTGTGTTGGAAGCATTTGGGGCAGGGAGGAGATGATTCTAAGTGAACCTGGACTTATCTTTAAGGGTCTGAGGGCTGCCACCTGTGGAAAACGAAGACTTGCAGCCTAATATTCACGTGTGTTCACAGGGCACCCATCACCTGCACCAGGTGCTAGGCTAGGTGGCGGCAGTAGGAGACGAGGCTGAGTAGGACAGCTTCTGCCCCTGAGGACTACTCAGCAGGGTGGGGACAGAAATGATCCCAGGGCAGAGTTGGGGAGGTGCTCTAATGGGGGAAATGCAGGTGATGGGAAGGCAGAGTGGGGACAGTGTGCCAAAGGTATGGTGGCCCTTACTGCTGGGCCTGCACAGTCCCAAATGGGAGTCACCAGCTATGGGTGACCACTGAGCACTAGGCATGTAGTGCATGAGCAGGTACTGTGCTGTAAGATTTCAAAGACTTTTTACGAAAACATCTCATAATAATTTTTATATTGAGTATGTGTTGAAATGATACTACTGTGAATATAGTGGGTTAAATAAGTTATATTATTATTATTATTATTATTTTAATTTTCTTTTTTTAAATTGGGGAATTGGGGTAGGGGAACAGACAAGTTGCTGTCCTTTTGTCCTTCAGTCTAGCTGTGGAGGATGTCGCTTCACTGGCCCATGTTGGTATTATCATTGCGCTCTTCCCGGGTGAGGCAGTTGCTCACTGGCCATTGGACTGCTCATGGTGGCTCACAAAAGCACAAGCCAGCTGCCTGCCGGCCAGCCCCACTGCAGCCTACGCAGGCGCAGGCGACTAAACGCAGCCCAGCTCCAGGTAGAGCTGTTGTTCACCATCTTAGCTGTAGAGGGCGCAGCGCCACTGGCCATCATATGTGGGGTCTGAACCAGGGCCCTGCTGCTCAGAGCTGGCGTCCCAAGCCAACTCCTAACCAACGGGACACTCGGCCAGCCCGAAGTTATAGTATTAAAATTAATTTCACCTGCTTCCTTTTGCTTTTCTAAATGTGGCTACAAAAAAATTGTAAATTGACACATGTGCCTGGCATCTGTGGTTCGCGTTGTAAGTCTATAGGACAGAGCTGCTCTAGTTGACAGCGTGGGGTGGGGGGGGGTGGGGGAAGCTGGTGATTACGACGCATGGGTGCGGATAGATCTGGACTTCACCTCCCCAAAATAACTACTGTGGAGAAGGCGAACTCCCTAGGTGTTCAGAGGGGATGCTGGCAGTGGTAACGAGACAGGATAGATGAGCCCCAAGGATCCTTCCAACTCGAAGCCTAACAGGAGCTCAGCAGGCCCTTTTCCTGCCCCGTGGGAGACTCAGGCAGGACCACGTGCCTGAGTGCCGTTGATGTGAGGCCCAGAGGTCCCACCTACCTTAGGGCTCTGGTCACAGAGGCCCTCGGGGTCCCTGCTGGCCTGGGCTCCTCTGTGTCCTCCTCAGAGTGTGCAGGAGTATCTCCCTGGCTCTGCTGAGGGCTGCTTCCGCAGGGACAGCCACGTGGGGTGCCACACCCACCCCTTCCTAGGAACTGCCATCCGCAGCCCCCACTGAGTGGGCAGTGGGGATGGTGATGTATAGGTGAGTGTCACCCACATGGTAGGTTTGTGGAGGCTGGCAGCCCCTGCTGGTCACCTCCCGGATAACGAGTGCCCGGCCCACCCTCTTCATGATGTAGGTAAATTCCTCCGCAGCGCCGGCTGTCACACTGCTGGTCAGAATGACCACGTTCTTCTTGGAGCCGTAGCGTTCACCTGCAAGAGAGAAGCCTTTCAAGATGGAGATTCAGTTCACTACCTTGGGAGACCTACCTTCTCCATACTGTCCGGAACCACGAGAGGAGGGCCTGTGATTTAGTTTTGCATCCTTGTGTTCACACACGAGTCACCACCTTTCTGAGCCCCAGTTTCTGCATCTTTAAAATGGGGATAAGAAAATGTGCCCAATCCTGAGTATTTTAAGTGCTTCAGAGCCCCCTACCTCCCACGCAGATTTTTTAAAATCACCAAGTAATGGGAAAAGGCTTGACTTTTCTGAGAAAAATGTATGTTTCCTTTTTATGAATAACGAGAACTAACTTGACCAGACTTTCCACTTTGGACCTTCAGAAGAGTCAAATTTGTGACTTGACAAGCCTCTAGGGCAGTGATGTCCAATAGAAATGCAACATGAGCCAGAATGAGAGCCACAGATGTCATTTTAAGTTTTCTAATAGGCACATTAACGAGTCAAAACAAAACAAAACTAACAAAAAACCAGATGAAATGAATTTTAATAATTTTTTCTCTACTATGAAATAATAGTTTTATTTAACTCAATATGTCCAAAATATGTTCATCTCAAAATGTAATCAATAAAATTATTGATGAGATATTTTAAACCCTTTTCATAAAATGTCTTCAAAGTCTGGTGTCCACTTTACATTTTACACATCACAGTTCATATGAGTCACATAACCATGCTTAGCAGCTCCCATATGGGACATCATAGCTCTAGGACCCCATGACCTGAAGAGCTGAGTCTATTTTTAACTTCTGGTCTTCAAAGTCTATTTGAATTTAGAATTCACCTGGCTCTGATTTTTATTTACATTTTACAATGTTATTGAAAGTGTGTCTTGGAAGCTCCCCCCAAATTCCTGTGTGATAAGCAAGTGTACAAAGGAAAATTGTGGGGTGCTTTTCTGGTCATATCCATATCCCTATTGTTGAAGGGAGTGAAAGGTCCTTGGTTTAGTGCACTGGGCAAGGGGGAGGGAGTGATGCTATGCACCAGGGGTGGGGCTGGGAGAGTCATGATTCGGTGAAGCATGGGGTCTGCACCTTTCCTCCAGCCACTGTTCTGGGCCCAGGAAGGTAACAGAAGCCCTGTCAGTATCAGAACTATTTTTAGGCAGATGTGCTGAGAGTTCAGGTAAGATGAGCACTGGAAACTCTCTGGGGTTTGGTGATGGGCAGGAGGGATCCTTCTAGTTCTGCATTTGTCTTGCAGTCTGATGGCTGTAGTGGGGAGAATGGGAGGTATTTTGGTTTTAGACAAACCGATGTTTAAATTTTGGTACTTCCACTTATTAGCTGAGTGATGTTAGACAGGATATTTTACCCAGCTGAGACTCATTTTTCTCCTCTAGAAAATGGGCATAATGGTACGAGTCTTGCAGGGATTAAAGATCTTATGTGCGAAGTGCATGGCATATGGCAGGGACTTAAATTCCACTTATTGTTACTTTTACCTGAACCCAAACTGTCTTTCTCTAATTTTCTGGAAGCTTCTAGAATGAGAACAGGAAGGGGAAGTCTTCTGCATGCACCTGCAAGCTGGGTGTGGGTCCAGAGCTCAGTGATGGAGTCGTTGGGCTGGCAGTAGATGTTGTCCAGCAGGATGGGAGGGCCTTCCTCGAAGAAGTAGGAGCACAGGGCGGAGAGGGAGGAGGTTGGGCCACCAGTGTTGAACCTGAGGGAAGGAAGTGAAGGCCACCAGGGGCAGAGCTCACAGTGAGGCACTAGGTGCCTCTCTGGGAATCCCAGATCTTTGTCCTGTGGGGGGTTCTAACTCCAGGTGGCCTCAGTCTAGTGCCCCTTCCTCCTCCTACACAATTCTTTGGTTGACATTCCCCAGAGCACTAGTCTCTTGAGAACAAGAGACTTTGTGGTCAAGTTCATTTAGAATATACTGCATGCCATACCCACCCCTTCTGATTACATATTAATACATTGTGTGATACATATTGTATATATTACATTAAAGGCTTTGGCAAGTCCTCTAGTCAGGAACTTGTTGATAAATTTCCCCCACTTACTGATCATGGACTACTCCCCTGCACCCATGCTGCCTGTGAGCAGATCACATTTTGTGAACACAGTCCTCCCCAGTTGCATTCTCCATAACTTTACAAAATCCACTAGGCATCTTAGTTGAAGTGTCCTAATGTGGCATGTAGTGTGGTGGAGTGCTCAGAGTTGTGGAACTGCGTCGAAAGTGAGAAAGCCTGTGTCCGTTCCAGACCATATAGGTTTACCCCATGTTGTGACCTCCTCGGGACCCTGTCTCTTTATCTGGGAAATGAAGAGTGCTGCGCTGGCAGTGTGTTAGGAGCCTCTTCTGGTTGATGGTCTAGGATGGCCTGACCTGGGTTCAGGGCACGTGACCTCAGCATCTGAACCTCTAAACTTCAGGTTGGAAGGGCCACGTAGCAAAGCACACCTGTAACCTGGGCCTCCCTCTATTTAAAAAATGTAGATGGCACAGTTAAGCAGATAGGGACTTAACATGAGGTTTGTTGGAATGTTTAATAGAGCATTTGAAGACTAAAGAGATCAGAGGTATACACAGGAGCCCCTGAGCTCCAGTTCTGGGCACCAATCTATTTATCTTCCAGGGAGGAGAACCAGCCTCTGGGCTCCAGAGCCACCTAGTGATGACTAAGAACCCTGGGAATGCTGCAGGCAAACTACCAGAGCTGGAATATCCACCTCAGCCAATCCCAGTGTGGCTCTCTAGTAGCCAGGGTGGATGGGAGTAGGAACTGTCTGCATTCCAGGGGAGCAGCCTGCCCCAACCCATGCGATGGAGGGTGCCTAGGGCAAACCTGCTGGTGGACCTGGGAAGGGGCCTGGTCCTGGCCACTGCCAGTGGGCATTCTTCCACCAACCCCTCCCCTCCAATCCCCACACCCCCATTCTATAAGGGAAATACGCCTCTATGAGGCGCACCTTTACAGAAGCAGAAGGGAGGTGGCTAGCTGAAAGCATCCCTCCAATCATCCTTTTGTGAGGTAAAGAGTTCTTTTTGCAACAATAGTAGCTAATTTGAAAATTCTTTCTGGAATTCTGGCTTCCTCATTCTCATGGCGATGAAGGTCATCATGGGCTGACTGTGTGTGACGTGAGCCATAACCACAGGTGGAGGCCTAGCTGATCCTAACATCACTGATCATCAGAACATCTAGGACGAAGCTTGTCAAATATATAGATCATCGGGTATCATCCTGGAGTTTGGACTCAGTAATGGCTGGGCTGGAACACTGGAAGCAGTGTTCCTCCTATCTCCCTTCTCCTTCTCAAGGAGTCCTATGACCAGGCACATTTGGGGACTGCTTAATCAGTCCGTTAATTCTCAGCCTGGAATGCACATTGGGATCATTGGAGGAGCTTGAAAAATCTATCAGTGCTGGGTTCTCACCCAGTCAAATAAACCAGAACCCCTGGGCTAGCTGGCCAGAACCCTGATAGCCAGGTCAACTAGTCTCTTTCAGCTGCTGTCCTGTGTTCCGGGGTCCTTTTTCTACCTGACTAGGCCCATAGCTTTGACTGTGTTCCAGCACCTTCCCTGGCTTGGCCAGGAACCACTGACCCCCGGCCCACTGACCTCATGTCAATAATCATGGTGTCCATGTGTACAATCTTCTTCCAGACAGGCTCTACCAGCAACTCGGAGACCTGGGTGAACAGCTCACAATCTCCAAACATGTCGAACCTCAAGTAGCCAATGTTGTCCTCAAGCTCATTAGTGTGGAAGGAAAACTTGCTCAGGTCTTCAAAGACATCAGCGGAAGGGATCTGGAATATTGGGAGGTCCCGCTCAGGGTCAGGAGAGGAGCAGAGCAAGAAGACACCATGGATTTCCTTTACAGCATGAGAAATACTAAGGGTATGTGAAGGGAACTAACATTTCTGAAGGAGGTAATAGGTACCAGGACCTTTTCAGATGGTGTTGGGGGTTACATGGGTGGTGGCCTGAGGCTATGAACCCACGTGTAGTCGTAGCCTCCTTACTGAGAATGCTCATGTGTGCCAACCCCATGACCTGGTGTCCAGAGCAGAAAGGCTCCAGCACTGTCTCCATTGACCAATCACTTTTTTTTAAGGATTTTTATTGGGGTACTGGGGGGAAGGGAACAGTGCTGGGGAATTGGGGGAAGGGGAACAGACAAGTTGCTGTCCTTTTGTTCTTAACCAAGGTGCCACTCGGCCGGCCCCCACCAATCACTTTTTGATGTCCCTGAGCTCATTTTTCTCTCCTCTTCTAGAGCAGTGAGAGGG